ACTGCGGCCCGCGGCATTTCCTCTCAAGCCTTCGGCTCGCACGCCCACTTTGCAACCTCGTAATGTTTGTCAGCCAAAGCAGAAGTGACTATTACCCACAATGGGCCCCAGACCTGCCACTGCGCGGAGCAGCTAGCCAATGGTGCGTACATATTTGTTCCAGGTCTACAAACACATCAACAATAGCGTCCTCTAACAGCTGTTTGGGAAAATATTTGTAATGGTGGTAAATGTCTTTTATCGACATATACATTTTCATATTAGCAGCAGTACTGATAGCAGCTGCTCTACCATGAAATTATCATTTATTTCTCACCTTTGCAAATGTCTTTTGGTAATTAGTTTACAGTATTTTGCATACTGATTTCTTGAGATTGATTTACTATATGTGGGAACAGGGATCTTTAAGATTTCTCTTGTGTACTATACAAAGGCACATTGTATTGGGAAAGTCATATTGTAATAAAAATGTTATTCAAGTGTCAATTAAATGCCCATTTACACCAAGAATAGCTACAGCAATAACCATAAAGCTTTTTAAATTCGTTCTGAAGGTCTGTGCATACTGAGAAATAACTATAGTGGTAACATAACGATAACTATTAATAGTACACTCTAAAAAATGCTGGGTTGTTTCAACCCAACTTTGGGTCAAATATGGACTAACCCAACTCTTGGGTTAAAAATGTAATTAAAAAACTTTAACCCAACAGTTGGGTTAGTCCATATTTGACCCAAAGTTGGGTTGAAACAACCCAGCATTTTTTAGAGTGTACATTATTGTAACTGCCATCAATATATTATTATAAGTGTGTGCTTATGTTATATCATTTGCAGCTTTAAATGCTCAAGTGCTGTAAAGACTGATGGATTCTGATTGGCAGTCAATGATTTTATTGTTCAACACCTGGAAAAAAATCATTCTGAAAGTGTTTCCAACGGTATCAATGTTGCTATTTTCATAGAATTAGAATGATTATTAAAAGAGTACAGTTACCATCCTTTAACTTAAAGAAAGCAATTTGTTTCAGCTGATGAATAATAAAAACATTGACAGCCAATCAAAATCCATTTGACCGAACAACAATACACAATAGTTATCATTAGTTATCATTACAGTTATTGTTCTTGGTGCGAATGGGCCTTAAGTCATAAATCTTGAAAAGGCTATTGGTTATAAATTGTTTTAACGATTAAGAGACCTTGTGTTACATATAACTTTCTCAATACAATTTCCTTAGTACAATACACAAGTTCCCTGAGGAAAAGGGGTTTATGTCAAGCATATAAATGCAAATATAACTTCTACTCTCTTGCTCACATATATACATGCACTGATTGACAGAAATGAAATATTATTTAGAAAGAAATAACGGCACCTGGAGTTAATATAGGTTATTTTGGAAGCTTGCTAAGTTTAGCATTGCTCTAAGGGAATTTTTATGAGAGTCAAAAGCACCTTGGTACAGTTTTCTAAAAATGTTCTGTCACAATGCATTTTAAGTTAAGTCTGTCTTTGCTGTGAATCTCCTTTATGTTCCTACAGAATTCTTCAGGGAGTGCATGCACTCATTATTAGCTGGAAAACAAGGTTATTTTGTTTTTCCTGTTTCCGACTCATCTCTGTGTAGAAAGTCGGGCTTTTACTCTAGAGGTACAAAGAGAAAAACATTTGAGTAATAGTGTTGGCATGAGCGTGAAATGGTTAACTTTAGAGTGTACCACAAGACAAACTCTCCAAGTTACCTGAAATGCTGTCTGCTTTCAGCTTTCTATGGTAGAATGAGCAAAACACCGGGTTCTTTTAAGGACTCAGAACTGAGATGAACCTCAGATATTGCTATTGTAGATATAATCATAATGGCATACCAATCCCCCACAGTCAGTCTCTCGAGAGTTTGTTCATCTGAGCACCAGTGTTGTGCATCATTCAGAGCAGAATTGAGAACACCTTTTAAATTATAATTAAATTCCTAAACAGGATGCTGAATTTGAATTCAAATCGAATTAAAAGGTTACAACAGATTTTGATTGATAATTTTGATTATCTGTCAAATAAATGCTTTTCTTTTGATCATTCTATCATCAAAAAAATCTGGAAAAAAGTATCATGGTTTCCACAAAATATTTAGTAGCACAACTGTTTTCAACAATGATTATAATAAGAAATGTTTTTAAGCACCAAATCAGCATATTAGAATGATTTCTGAAGGATCATGTATACTCTTAAAAATAAAGGTTCTTCACGATGCCATAGAAGAAACTTTTTGTCTAAATGGTTCCATAAAGAACTTTTAACATCTGAAGATGAAGATGTTTTGGTGGAGCCAAAAATGGTTCTTCTATGGCATCGCTGTGAAGAACCTTTTAAGCACCTTTATTTTTAAGAGTGTAACACTGAAGACTGGAATAATGATGCTGAAAATTCAGCTTTGCTATCACATGAATAAATTACATTTTAAAATATATTTAAATAGAAAATAGCTATTTTAAATTGTAATAATATTTCACAATATTACTATTTTACTGTATTTTTGGTTAAATCAATTTAAAAAATGTTTCAAAAACATTAAAAAATCTTACTGATCCCAAACTTTTGAATGGTAGTGAATATTTCATTATATTTAATAAATAAAATTTTTGTGGTACTGTATGGGAACATTTTAAATCTGTTTTGAAAGTCCTGAACTTAAAAATATCTCTAATCGTACAAAAATAATATTTAATATCTGATCAAATTATTCACGTTTTGTCACAAATTGCAGTTCAGTAAAATAAAATTCCAATTCAGCATCCTTTAGGTGTAGCCAATTAAATCAAATACCAACTCATGAAAGGGATCAAATACTTAAATCCTGAATTTGGCCCACATAATATAAAGTCATTTTTTTCAATATGAATCTTCGTATTGGTTTGGTTCAGTCCTGACCCTGTTCTCAAGTCCGTCCTGGTAGTTTGCCATCTCTCTACACCCCTCTCTGACGTCTTAGTGGGAATTAAAGCTGTTCCACTTGAAGGCCTTAAGCTGATTACGGAGAAAGGTAGCCACTGTCTGAAGGGGCAATGTGACTTTGTTTGGAATCTCTGGGTAATTTGCGGCATCCTCGCACCGAGATGTGAAGTCAGAATACTAAACTTTAATCCTCTGCCAAGCTGAACTCAATGTGTGTCTAATAAGGAGACTTTGCGAAGACTTCATCCGTCAGCTGCCTTTTCTTTGACTACAGCGGGTTTGATTTGAACCTTCAGCCATTCATTTCCATGGACATCCCTGTTTCAGCAGAGTGCACTGACATTAGCGGCAGTTTGATGGTGAATGAATGGGACAGCACAAATGATGAAGGCCTGAAGGACACAGATGGACAAGAGACAGAATGAACAACACATTTGAAATAATCCAGTACAGTCAACGCAGTACAGTCAAACAGCATGAAATTAAATTAACATCATCATCAAAACCGTGTGGATGTGTGAGGTTTAATAAGCAGTTGTTATTGCTAAATAACAACAGAAGCAGAAGGTAATGGAGCATGTGAACGTGCACAAAAACATACAGAGAGTGGCAAAGAGTGCAGAAAGTGCATGTACCACTATGAAACACAGTCATCTTTGTAGAGAATGCATATGTCAGAAAGCAGCTGGAACAATCTATATGAGAGGACTGCTGCTGCTTGACAGATGCAGGCAATTCTATATGTGCCAATTAAGAAAGAGTCCAGCAGAACATGTAATTATTGCACATGCTTTTTTTTTTGCCTCTAATGCTGGTGTCACCAACCATCGTGGGCGAGAACGAGTAATATAAAATGTATTTATTTAGTTGTTTATTTCAGAATCGTTGAAGTCCCTCACATCTTTTATATATAAAGAGCTTTAGTAAGGGCTGAGTGATAAACAATATTATATCAAGATGGCAATAACATTTTTGTTGATAACAGTGATAAGCTTTGGACATTTTTACTCGATATGGATAATTTTGTCAGCCGATTGCATAGCAGAAACAAATGTGTCAACAGCCAGTCAGTGCATGTCGCTAATAAGTTTCTCTGTGTAAATGAATGGCATGGGTTTTCAGCACCTGCCGTCTCAAGATATGATGATAGTCCACATTTATTTCATCTCCAGAGCTGCTCTGAGAGTCGCTTCGTGAGCCTTTCCCTATTTCTTCTGAGAAAAACTAACGTCAAACACGCACTGAAACTCAAAGGTCTTCATGACAACACGTCAAAATAAAATCTTAGTTTGACATGAAGAAATTTACAGAAATATATTACTAATATTATTTTAAAGGAATATCATACAACTAAGACATATTTATAATCATGTTTTAATCTATACAGCTCTGTTGTGCTGCATTTTATTTGACAAACAAATAATAATACAATGCTTTGTTGTAAATTGACATATTTTCATTTGATTACATTTTAAAATATTGATTATTGTCAGGGTTATGGACCTGTCTGTGTGTGTTTTTGCTCCCTGTGACCCAGTTTCTGTCTCCCGTTGATTGTGTTAATTTGATTCCAGGTGTGTCTAGTTCTTCCCCCAATTATCCTGTGTTTAAAAGCCCTAGTCCTTTCAGTCAGTGTTTGTCGGTTCTGAACGTCATTCCATGTGTTCCTGTGTCTCCTATGTACCCCTTGTGTTTGGATTATTAAAAGACTGTGGTTTGAAGCTATCTCTGTGTCTCCTCGTTCTGTGCTCCAAGTGAAGTGTGACAATTATATTGTTAAATTTCACCAGCTATCATTTAATGATAAATTGTTGATACATTTGTATTAAATTGCAAAGGATCTAGAAAAAAATGAAATGGAAAATTTAGGGAACAGAATTTAGGAACTTAAGGAAAAATAAATAATAGATTTTAAAATATATTTTTTGAGGCCTAAATTAAAAGGTATAGCTACTCTGTGGAGCTTACTGCCATTAATATATATGTACACACACATACACACACACACACACACAAACAATACAAATAGAAACCCTGTGATACTCACAATCGGCCTGAGCACATATGAGACACGACGTGCTGCTGTTGAAGAACGTTAGCAGTCCGGCTACAGCCATGCTGATGTCTGTATTAGTGGGCCTGAGGTCCAGCGTGGTAAAGCGAGGAAACTGCACCTTCAGTATGTCCTCCGGAGCCACCTTCACGTACGGCACCTGTACAGGGACACAGAACAGGACAGAGAAATTGAGCCCTGCAGGACCCCTCTTGTTAGGCTGTTACCGCAGGTAAATTGAATGAAAGAACATTGCAGGAGGGCGTTTTGTTTACTGCGCTGTGATGCGGGTCTCAAGAGTGGCTGTGCAACAGAATCACTGCATTCTCATCAGACTAATTAGATCCATTTTACGCCTAAAACTAATAAAAACTCATTTGAATAATTTCAAAAAGTCCTCTCTGAAGGCATGCGAATTAACAATAAAAACTCAGCAGCATTAGATGAAATAAAAACAGATTTTTTTTAACCTCAGCGATGATTGAGGCAGAATTTCTCTCTGTGTAAAGGCCAAGTTAGATGTTTATTCAGACAGAGGTCATGTGCAGTGACCTTTGACATCTTCGAACAGTCTTTGAACAGAGATAGAACACAACACAAAATGTCTCGCTATCCATGGAGACCTCAGCGTTGGCTGCTCTCTAATTTGATGTGTGCTGATGTGTGGGTGTGTCGGGTTTGGGAAAAGTGGGTGCTGGTCTCATTGGGGCTTGAAGGGGATCCTAGAGGACACAGGCGGGCTGAGTAAAGGACCTCTTCATCACAGCAGATTGCCTGTCTGCGATGGGCCGTGTGACCATGCATTGTACTTGCACGGCCCTGTATCCCTAATTGGTTTTCCATCGCTTTCCATCAGGGCGTAATGGAGACCCCGCCAGTGTGGATGGATGGGGCACGTGGGCTCTCCGACACTCGGGCGACAACTGGGATTCTTGGAGATGGAGGGTTCGGAGAGAGGCCGGTAATGGGCTTGCTGCAGCGAAGAGACATGTACAAGTCTCCAACCTTCCTAGAATCGTTATTTCTATTTCTCAGAGAAGATGCTTTTCTCTATTCCCCACGCCGGCTTCCAGACAACATCCCATCTGTCCAAAGCCCCTGTGCTAACTTGTAAATAGCAGCTATAGTTGGACTTCCTCCTGTGTGCATAAGCTCTTGTTATTCAGAGGTAATTCAACAGAGTGACACATACAGCTCAGCGAGGAAAGACAAACAGCACTTATATGAACAAGAAAAAGCACCTTTAGATTTTTCTAGATTTTCCAGCATGAGATTTGAACTAATTAATGGTTCAAACGGAGCTTCAAGTGGAGCTCCTGGGTAACAATGCTGGGCAGTGAAATGAACTTCACAGAGGTTTAATGAGCTGCCATGTGGACTGACTCCAGCAGACATTAAGATGTTATGTCAAGGGTCTTAATAGTCAGAGTGGGAGGTAAGAAAAAAAGTGGAGGTTAGATGGGTTTACTTTGAGGAACCAGTCATGATTATTGGACATGTATAGAAAAGCATTGTAAACAAGTATTTAATATTAGCTTGAGTGATGGAATATCAACTTCAGAGACAAGTTTGACAAAAATAACATTTTGAAATCCTGAAGACTGTACTGGACACTTGTTTTAAAGGGATAGTTTACACAAAAATGAACATTCTGTCATTCATTACTCCCCCTCATGTCATTACAAACCCGTAAGACATTCATTCGAGAATACTTTTTGTGCGTAAAGAAAAAAAAATAACCACGATGCATAATGCCATTATTTTTGTTTTTTTTGCACACAAAAAGTATTCTCGTAGCTTCATAAAATTAAGATTGAACCACTGATGTCACATGGACTATTTTAACAATGTTCTTACTACTGTACCTTTCTGGGCCTTGAATGTGTCAGGTGTCTATGCAGGGTCAGAAAGCTCTTGGATTTTATTAAAAAATATTTTAATTTGTGTTCTGAAGATGAACAAAGGTCTTATGGGTTTGGGACGATATGAGGGTAGAGTAATTAATGACAAAATGTTCATTTTGGGTGAACTATCCTTTTAAGTCGAATTTTTAACTGAATCAATCTGATTCATGAATAAATAATTCAGACAGGTGTTTTGAATTAGGTTAATAGATTAATTGAAAAGATTTCATTTCAAATATTTGCTTGTTTGCTCGTTCACAAATTGGATATCAATACATCTCTCATGAACTCTCATTAATAAGCCATGGGGAGCAATGCTGGCTGTCAGGATCTTCAATAATCTTGGAAAACACAAAAGAAAATATTTTTCATGAAACCTGTGAGATTTATGTCTCTCCAACAAAAGCCAATGACACCAAACGTCAAGAAATTCATAAAGAGATTGTAAAAGTTATCTGAAGAGACATGATCACTTTTCATTAAGAACAGATTTAATGTATGCTTTTATTCACATATAAACACTGATCAATGCATGTATATAGAGCACATTAAATATGATAAAAGAAAACTGAAACATGCTTGCTTAATGCACAAGAACAAACCTTAAGACCATTTAAATGTGTCTAAGTTTTGTTGTAAAAAAAATTAACTGGAGGAAGAGAAATATTTCAGTTTTCACTAAATAAATGTTAATTTCTGTTTTGAAAACGAACTAAAGTCTTATGTGATTGAAACAACAAAGGGTGAGCAATGGATGACAATTTAAATTTTTGGGTGAACAATCCCTTTTAAATTTCAGTATGCTCATAACCCACAGCTATCTTATGATGTGGAATATATAGTGCACATTTTATATATGTGGAATATAGACCACTTTTATTGTGTCATGTTTTATACATCTTTAAGCTAGAAAGCTATAGTCCCTGTTCATGGTAACTGCAGGAAAAAAGCCCCATTCTTCAAAATCCTCCATTTTCCATTGAAAACAAAGTCATACAGGTTTGGAACAACATGAGGGCGAGTAAATAATGACGGTATTTTCATTTTTGCGTGATCTATCCCTTAAAAAGACTCACATTCTCACAGATGTCAGAATCTAATGTCTCATTGCGTGCTCAAACATACATAGTAAATATCCATGGTGTGTGAACAGGAAATGGAGCATAACACTGAAAGGGGTTTGAAAGCCATTTTGCTTGTGGTTACAGCACACTGCATATGCATCAGCATAATTTCCAGGGCGTAAATAGAAACTCTTTGGCCTGGTGGAGCCAATCTGGGCTGCAACATTGGAATTGTGGGCCAGAGGGAGAGTTGTGTATGGAGGTTATATCAGTCTGTCCGTGTGCTGTCTGCTCCTGCGGGTTGACAGAGTGGCTGTCAGGCCTACAGATGCACTGCTGACAGGCTTTTAACGAGGGGCCTGGTGCCGGCCAAAAGCAGCTCACTGAAGTCAGGCAAACAGCCACGCAACACTGCAGTATAAGTACATGTGCTGAACATTTAATTTAAACCAGCGGGAACATGCTGACCTGGTACAAATGAATATTGAGGCACTTTACAGATGCTGCATTTGGGACATTTTTTAAATGTAGAACAGTACAATTGAATGGTTTTGCAATAAGTATCTTGTGAATTATATTGTAACTGTTTCGACAATTCAGTTGATTGAATTATTATGCTTGTACACACTCTTTGAGCAAATTGAGCTCTTTGTTATTCTTTATCTAAATGTGCATTGCCAAAATGTTTTATTTAAAGTACAAAATCTTTTTTGCAAAGTCATCTTAATAGGGTTTTAAACTACAATAAGGAAAGGACATTACTGTGCAACTGCCAGACTAAAATATGCAACTCTGAATAACAAAAGCTGTTGCGACATCGTGAGCATTACTTAAAACGTCCCTTGGCTTATTTAAATAATCAATTTAAACCTCATAGGGAAATACATGGCTTTCACAAAGTGCCATTTGTGAAGTCATTTGGCACACGTAAGGTTTTCTCACTTAACCATGAAATTGTGCAGATTGTTGTGATGCTGTGCTGAAAGAAACTCTGCAGTGTAAAACTCCCACCTTGACCTTTTTTACCATTCGGTATTAAAGTTAGGCCTGGTTTTACTGCGTATGGTCATCCAGCTTTCTACCTGTGGCTCTGAACAAAAACACATCCATAAGGGTGGACGGTCTCAGGAGGGAACCCTTGGGGATTTCATGCCATATGGCAAGGTAAAATATAATGAGATCTTACATCTGTTCCCTTACGTGCCAGAGGAACAAAATCATGTTTAATAAAAGATCACAGAATTTTAACCAGGACCACAGTGTCAACTGATACAGCTGGACATACTGTTGTACTGTAAAGGCGGCCATATTTGTCCGTTGTCATGCTCAAGAACTGCAGTGAGTGACAAAGCCATGCTAGGTTGCCTCACAGGTTGGTGGGGGCGGATGCAGGCAGAAAGCAGTGCAATTACTCAAAGACATGGAGATCGGCCATATGGGGATGGCAGAGTGGCTGGAAGGGTATTGTGAATGATCGTGACAACGCACACCTCTCTAATGTGGTGCAATGGACCATGGGAAGTCAGCTGCTTGGGGAAAAACACACACACTCAAGCACTAAATGGAGTAATCATGTTTTGGAGGCTATGTGAGCTCTGAGAGTCCCTGGTGGAGGGAGCAAAGAGAAGAAAGGCCACCAAGGCCTTGAGAGAAAGCTGAGCATTGACCACAATCTCATTGATCAGCCTGCTGAGAAAAAAAAGAACGCTTTCTACGATCACTGTTTTGCAAGCATCACTGCTGGTTCCGAAGAACACAGAAATCCTGTAAAAGACTCTAACGTTTTAAAGCTGTGACCGTGACTACTAGCGGTGGTGCAGGTGGAAAGGTGAAGCCGTGGTGAATGGAGGTGAATTGGACAAGTTATCTTTGGTGAATTTCAAATATCACCTAACAGATGGAATCTGCAGGTGTGTCCCTCCCTTGGTCTCTGCTCATGCATTCAGCCATTGTGGACAAATGTGTAGCACTCCATGTAAAACAAAAAATCAATCCATTGATGCTCAAGGGTAGTTATGGAAGCCAGTTCCCTCCTAAAAATAAAACAGGTAATTGTGAGAACGCTGATAATATGAAATAGCTATAATTGTAAGTAATAGAGTCACAACTGTGAGTTCCCTTTCAGTCGGTCACTCCCGATGTCACGTCGGATGACCGACGAATTGGGATCTCGCTTAGAGAGACCAATCTAC